CAGAATGCAGAAATGATGCCATCTGCCCTCAGATGCGGGTGCCGGCGATGATCCAGCCTAGCTCGGTTTGGAGTGCCGCTGGCTACCCCTCACGCGCGGATAGGACCCCACGGAAAATGACGTTCTGGTATAATCCCACGCCGAGTACAATACAAATAGTGGACGGGCGGTGCCATACCTCGTCGGCCAGAACCACGTCCTTAAAGTGGTCGCCTTCGTGGTCCACAGCTTGAGCTGGCGAGCGCATAACCAGAGAGGGAACCACCTCCAAAATCACAGCCCAGCGATGATTTGACGTCTTAGATACCACGTCAACGACGCAGTATCGCTCGCTGCCGGTGTGCGTGAGCTCCAGCCCTAGTGCCCTAGCCATTGACGCATCGATGGTGCTTGTTGGGGCGCAGGCGTTGATGAGCACCCTAGTGCTCCGAACGCTTTGATCGGCTTTCGATGTAGACCAAGGCGGTGGGCAGGATGCTGATGCCTCTAAATAAGTATTGCCGTATACCAGATGGCCGCCCAGAAGCCGATGATGCCCGGGATGGCAAGGATTGCCGTTGCTGAGAGCTGGCTTCGTCTCCTGAGGAAATTCTGGGAGACGGAGATCGGCGACGAGCTTCAGCGCGCCTGGTCCAGACAATTTCTGCAATACCGGTTTGCCTTCACAGCGCGAAGCCTTTCTCCTGGCGTCATTTGCAAAGCCGGCAGCGGAAGCCGGAGACTCCTCGCAACGGATCCCTTGTGGTGTGGCGCGCTGTATTGTGAGACGGACTAGGACTAGTTTTGCCACGGCCCGTCGGATGACGCCGCGAGCGGTGAGGACGTCGACCCCTCGCACTTTGCAGTCGCTGCCCGGATGAGACGTTTGGACCCTGCCGAGGCGCCACTCGTTGGCCGGAATGTTGTTGACAATGACCATGGCGCCTGGCTGGAAGTCTTCCTGTGGCTGCTGCCATTTGCTGCGTTTGTGCAGCTCTTTTAAATATTCCTCCTTCCAGCGGAGGAACAATTTCTGATTGAGGGCCTTGATGCGCTGTCACCGGTTTATAATGGACGGGGCGTCCGGCGCGATTTCCGGTTCGGCAACAGAAAGTAGAGGCCCGCCTGTGAGGAAATGACCTGGAATCAGCGCTTGAACGTCCGTCACGTCCTCGGACATCGGCGAAATTAGTCGCGAGGTGAGAACTGCCTCAATCTTGCATAGGAGAGTGGACATTTCTTCGAATGTATACTTGAGGCCAAGCGTAGCTTCATAAAACAAAGATTTAAAGCTTTTTACGCTGGCCTCCCATAGACCACCCATGTGAGGGGCGCCAGGAAATGCCACGACACGATTTGGTGCCGACTATTCGACTATTCGAGTCCAGGAAGTCCCGTTCTAAGGATTTTGATGCTCCAACGAATGTCGTGCCGTTGTCAGAGTAAATCTGTTTAGGGCACCGCCGTCTGGCCATGAAGCGTGCGAATGCTGCCAAAAACTTTTCCGCGGTCAGGTCGGATGTGACTTCTAGGTGTATGGCCTTCGTTCTAAAACACACGAAGACGCACACATATCCTTTTGTAATTAGGCAGGCTCGACCTGTATAGTTTTTGATGTGGAACGGACCGGCGAAGTCGATACCTGTATTGGTAAAGGGGGGAGAAAATGTACTCCGTGGAGCCGGAAGGCTCCCCATTAGTTGGGTTTGCAGCCGCTTGCATGAACGGATTACGTCTTTGACTAGATTCCGTAGTCTGGGAATCCAGTATTTAGAGCGGATGAGGCTGACCGTAGACTGATTTCCTCCATGGAGTGAAATCCTGTGGGAAAACAGTACCAGGAGTCGCGACAAGGTACAGCTGGGATGGCGTTCGTCGTAGGTCAGCGAATCGGAGGCGGAAAGTCGGCCACATGATTGCATGACCCCTTGGTCATCCATGAATGGATTGAGATTTAGGATACTGCTACTGGACGCTATCTTCGTTTTATTAGACAAAGCGCAGTATTCCCTTCGCTGGGCGCAGACCACTAGAACACGTTGGGCATTGGTCAATTCTCGGTGGCTGAGTTCTGTGGACGGAGGAGAGGGTACTTTCCGGCAGCGATGGATGAAGCGTTGGACGTACGCCAGTACCCTGATTGCTCTACCGAACTCGGAGAACCGCTCTAAAAAGTCCGGAGCCTTTGGCAGAGTTGCGAGGTGACTCTGCTCGAGAGCTGCCTCATGAGAGATCTGCTCCTGTATGGGCCAATACTGCCGTGGAGTCCGGAGCCAAACTGGTCTATGCCACCACAAATCGCTATCCACCAATTCTTGCTGCGAGACACCTCGACTGCGAGGTCGGCTGGGTTGTGCTCGGAACGCACATGGAACCAATCCTTCCCATCCGTGGCCTGTACGATCCGAGATACCCGGTTTGCCACGAAGGTGGTAAAATTGCATGCCGGTTTGTGCAACCATGCAAGGACGATAGATGAATCTGTCCAGTACTGTGCTGCTACGTGGAAGGTGTGGAAGGATCGCTACGCACAAATCAGCAAGGAGTACCGCGCCACACAACTCGAGGCGCGGTAAGGACACCGTTTTAACTGGAGCCACTCTGGTTTTGGCTGCCAGCAGATGCACTTGTACTTCACGGTGCAACTCCACTCGGATGGCAGCTCCATACGCCCGTTGCGATGCGTCGCAAAACCCATGATATTGGAAGGAGCCCTGGTGGTGGAAATGGACTCATCTAGGGATTCGAATCTGGTCTAGCGATGGATAGCTGTGGAGGAATTCGTGCCACTTCTGAAGCAACTCGGAGGGGAGAGGGTCGTCCCATCCTATCCCACTTAGCCAAATCTCCTGCATAAACATCTTTCAACGGATAATAAAGTGGGCTAACCAGCCTGCCGGGTCGAACAGTTTTGCAATCTGCGACAGGACCTCACGTCTTGTGAAGCTAGATTTCGACTCCAAGTCGCTGGCGACGAAGCGGAACTCGTCGGTCGTTGCCTTCCATCTGATGCCTAGCGTTTTAGTCACACTGGCATCCTCAATATCCAGGAAGCCGGCGTGTAACAGATGTTCCTCCGGTAGGCCCCGTAGTAGCAGTGGTCATATTTTGCCTGAACCAATTCAAGTTCTGACTGGCCGAACTCTGACTCATTCAGAGCCCGTGTGCAGCGTTCACATTCTTGTTCCACCTTTTCCCACAAGGTTTTAGCTTGTTCCAAATGGACCTTAAGAGCGAACACTGACGTTTCGGCACTGGAGGAAGGATCCAGTTTAGCCTCGAACTGACAAAGGTTGTCAGTAACGCTAATGAAATTGTTTAGAGCCATCTAGTTGCTAGCTGACGCTTTTTGACCTACTGCCCTCGTAGTTGGAGGTGTGGTTTTGGAAATGGTGGGCACCTTTACTGACAGTTGCGAGGGTGAAGGTGAGGGCGAAGCAGAACTTCGAACCGTTGGAGTCGAAGAGGGGCTGGACCTGGGCTGACGAGAGGACGGATTGACAATAGGAACTGATGCCGAAAGCTTTGCGCTGTCCTTCTCGCTGTCGCTGGACATAATATGCTCTCGTACGAGCCTTAAGGAGAAGAAGCTCTTGCTTTGTTTGTTGCTGAATTATATGTATCCCAGTTGAAATTTGAGACAAACTAATAAATTTCAGCCACAAACTTTGTTTTAGAAACAAAATGCCGAGCAGCCGATACACCAACGAAGAAATGCTTTGCCGTCGAAATTTGCGATGAAATCTGCGGCAGCTCCAAATTCCTTTAAATTATTTTATTGTTATTATTAAACGCCGGCAGTAAGATATTGAGCCCCTTTTTGGTCTCCTTTTTATACTCTGTACATGAAATGTACAAGAGTATATTAGGTTTGCGGGAGCTGAAAATGTAACAGGCAGAAGGAGGCGTGGCAGACCCCACAAACCCCATTCTTGATCGGCATGTCTGTCTGTCTGTCCGTCTGTGCGTCCGTATGAACACCTGGATCTCAGAGACTATAAGAGATAGAGACACCAAATTTTCCACAAAGATGCGTTATGTGTGTATTCTATACGAGTTTGTTTTATTTTTTTGATTTCCCCCCCCCACTTCCCCCCCCTATGGGGGTTTTCCCGATTTTCCATTCGTATAATCGCCTATATCTCGGAGACTATAAGACCTAGGCACACCAAATTTTAGTCCAAGATGCTTTGTGTGAATACGCAGAAAATGTATATTTTGGAATTTCCCTCCCTCCCCCCTCTCCCCCGCAAATGCGATTTTCTCTAACTCCTGTAATTCTTGGAATTTCGAACTAAAATTTTGCAAATACCCCCAGTTGGTTATTATGTGCCATGTCCGTATGCCAAATTTCACTATGATAGACCGATTTACCAAGAAGTTATAGCCATAAATATATTTGCTGCTGCAGCGCTGCTCAAGCGCTGCCCGCGGCTGTTGTTGATGTTGCTGTTTGGTTGACTGCGAAAATGCTTACACAGACACGAATAGATGCGCATAGGCATACATACACTCACACAGACGCAATTGCTATGTAAATGTGCAATTGTACACCCTTTACGTGAGTTCGAATACCGAGAAAGGTAAAATCGATCATTGAATTTTTTTTTATTTTCGTAATTTTTTTATTTTCTATAATTATTGTAAACATATGTACAGAGTATTTCAAAGTCGGGACACCCGACTTTAGCTTTTTTACTTGTTATTCTTGTTGGAGGCGCTAATAGGTTGCAAAAGAAATAAAGCAGCTGAAAATAGTATTTTATGTATATTTAATAAAACTAATTTTGATTGTTTTTCCAGTGCTTTATTTATTTTGAATTTTAAATGGAGGGGGCGCGGAAAAACATGCAGAAAAACCGAGTGCAGGGGGCCAATATTGTGACCGTGACTTCAGTCACCAATAGTTGGTATCGATAACTGTTGATGCGAACCACTAACCAGCGAAATGTGTGGGTAATAATTAAAAGCGGCAATTTTGAAATTCGATGTCGGGAACGCGCGTTCGCGATCAGCTTCACGATCGAATATGCGCCTGGTGACCTGGCGAAGATGCTAAGATATGCGCCTGCGCCTCTGAACTTGTCTTGTTGTAGGGCGCACTCTTTATATAGGTGAGTTGTTGTGTTATTGTCGTGTTAGTACAATTGTGTATTTACAACAAATACCCGTTCCAGATACCAATGCCAGGATTATCAACAAGTGTTTTACGGATACGTCTGCGCAGTGTGTGGTGTTATATGTGTAAATGTGGACATGCGTAAAAAAGAAATAAAGATGTGGCAGGCGTATGTTGAAATACAGTGAAACCAACAATTATTCGTACACTCTTTACTTTGGACTTTAATGGTCTATATCTTTGCAGTTATTTAATATAAACAAAAATTTTTTATTTCAAATGAACACTTAATATTTATATTTCATATTTTTAAAACAATAACAAACAATTTCATAATTGGTAATTGGTAATTGAGCAGCGCTGCAGCAGCAAATATATTTATGGCTATAACTTCTTGTTAAATCGGTCTATCATAGTGAAACTTGGCATACGTACACATAATAACTAACTGGGGGTATTTACAATTTTAGTTCGAAATTCCAAGAATTACGGGAGTTACGATTTGCGGGGTAGAGGGGGGAGGGAGGGAAATTCCAAAATATACATTTTCTGCGTATTCACATAAGACATCTGGGACTTTTTTTTGGTGTTCCTAGATCTTATAGTCTCCGAGAAATAGGCGATTATACGAATGGAATATCGGGAAAACCCCCATAGGGGGGAAGTGGGGGAAAATCAAAAAATAAAACAAACTCGTATAGAATACACACATAACGCATCTTTGTGGAAAATTTGGTGTCTCTATCTCTTATAGTCTCTGAGATCCAGCTGTTCATACGGACGGACAGACGGACAGACAGACAGACAGGGCTAGATCGACTCGTCTTGTCACGCTGATCAATAATATATATACTTTGTGGGGTCTGCTATCAACGCTACAAATGTATTCTGAACAAATCTAAGAGTCATTTACCGTTAAGCTTATTTTGTGAGTGTATTCATGCGATTTACAAAAGCAGAAACACACCTTTTACATTCACAACAATCATATTTGGAATTGAAGACACAAATTAGTGTTGAATTAAGTAATTTAATACATACTTATATATGTATGTATGTATGTATGTACATGTATATAGGCGGATAACGCCTGCATGAAAAATTTAAATGTATGTACATATCAGTGTTGCCGAACGCTCCAATTTTGGCGGGACGTCCCGATTTATAAATCAAAATTAAATGTCCTGCGTCGGACTTTTCGGGGATAACTCGACCGTGCGTACAACATGCTGAGAAAGCACACAGTTAAGTCAGGACTGGCAGTCCGCCCGGTGCGTAACGAAGATATGTACATATGTATGTATGTACGTATAACCATACATAGGTCTTATTGTACTATATTTGCTTTTTGGAAAATGAACTCTTTAAATAACTTTAGAGAGCGTCGAAAGAAGAGCACATTTTACTTAGCCCAGCAAAGACGGGCAAGACCTGCTAGTGTTTCATATAACTCTTATATGTGATTACAGCATTCCCTGTGATATCCCAGTCGATGCAAATAATGAGGCTGATTACGATAACGAAGCACAAAGTGGACAACAAGGAGGATCGGATTCACAATGAAATCGCATCCAGTCTGCGGCGTAACAAATAACAAAAACCAAAAAAGCCACTGTGGCGAAATAAAGAATTCCACTTATGTTCCTTTTTATATATTTATTTGTAACAGTTTTTAAAACAGGGAATTTTGTTGAACCAATTTTTCTAACAGCAGCCCCACAATCACTTCTGTGGACGATTTATGTGCCTCTGTAGACGATTTATACGCCTCCTTCGCAATATTTATACTCTGTACATGAAATGTACAAGAGTATATTAGGGTTGCGGGAGCTGAAAAATGTAACAGGCAGAAGGAGGCGTGGCAGACCCCACAAAGTATATATATTATTGATCAGCGTGACAAGACGAGTCGATCTAGCCCTGTCTGTCTGTCTGTCCGTCTGTCCGTCCGTATGAACACCTGGATCTCAGAGACTATAAGAGATAGAGACACCAAATTTTCCACAAAGATGCGTTATGTGTGTATTCTATACGAGTTTGTTTTATTTTTTTGATTTCCCCCCCCCACTTCCCCCCCCCCCCTATGGGGGTTTTCCCGATTTTCCATTCGTATAATCGCCTATATCTCGGAGACTATAAGACCTAGGCACACCAAATTTTAGTCCAAGATGCTTTGTGTGAATACGCAGAAAATGTATATTTTGGAATTTCCCTCCCTCCCCCCTCTCCCCCGCAAATGCGATTTTCTCTAACTCCTGTAATTCTTGGAATTTCGAACTAAAATTTTGCAAATACCCCCAGTTGGTTATTATGTGCCATGTCCGTATGCCAAATTTCACTATGATAGACCGATTTACCAAGAAGTTATAGCCATAAATATATTTGCTGCTGCAGCGTTGCTCAAGCGCTGCCCGCGGCTGTTGTTGATGTTGCTGTTTGGTTGACTGCGAAAATGCTTACACAGACACGAATAGATGCGCATAGGCATACATACACTCACACAGACGCAATTGCTATGTAAATGTGCAATTGTACACCCTTTACGTGAGTTCGAATACCGAGAAAGGTAAAATCGATCATTGAATTTTTTTTTATTTTCGTAATTTTTTTATTTTCTATAATTATTGTAAACATATGTACAGAGTATTTCAAAGTCGGGACACCCGACTTTAGCTTTTTTACTTGTTATTCTTGTTGGAGGCGCTAATAGGTTGCAAAAGAAATAAAGCAGCTGAAAATAGTATTTTATGTATATTTAATAAAACTAATTTTGATTGTTTTTCCAGTGCTTTATTTATTTTGAATTTTAAATGGAGGGGGCGCGGAAAAACATGCAGAAAAACCGAGTGCAGGGGGCCAATATTGTGACCGTGACTTCAGTCACCAATAGTTGGTATCGATAACTGTTGATGCGAACCACTAACCAGCGAAATGTGTGGGTAATAATTAAAAGCGGCAATTTTGAAATTCGATGTCGGGAACGCGCGTTCGTGGCGGTGAAGCTGATCGAATATGCGCCTGGTGACCTGGCGAAGATGCTAAGATATGCGCCTGCGCCTCTGAACTTGTCTTGTTGTAGGGCGCACTCTTTATATAGGTGAGTTGTTGTGTTATTGTCGTGTTAGTACAATTGTGTATTTACAACAAATACCCGTTCCAGATACCAATGCCAGGATTATCAACAAGTGTTTTACGGATACGTCTGCGCAGTGTGTGGTGTTATATGTGTAAATGTGGACATGCGTAAAAAAGAAATAAAGATGTGGCAGGCGTATGTTGAAATACAGTGAAACCAACAATTATTCGTACACTCTTTACTTTGGACTTTAATGGTCTATATCTTTGCAGTTATTTAATATAAACAAAAATTTTTTATTTCAAATGAACACTTAATATTTATATTTCATATTTTTAAAACAATAACAAACAATTTCATAATTGGTAATTGGTAATTGAGCAGCGCTGCAGCAGCAAATATATTTATGGCTATAACTTCTTGTTAAATCGGTCTATCATAGTGAAACTTGGCATACGTACACATAATAACTAACTGGGGGTATTTACAATTTTAGTTCGAAATTCCAAGAATTACGGGAGTTACGATTTGCGGGGTAGAGGGGGGAGGGAGGGAAATTCCAAAATATACATTTTCTGCGTATTCACATAAGACATCTGGGACTTTTTTTTGGTGTTCCTAGATCTTATAGTCTCCGAGAAATAGGCGATTATACGAATGGAATATCGGGAAAACCCCCATAGGGGGGAAGTGGGGGAAAATCAAAAAAATAAAACAAACTCGTATAGAATACACACATAACGCATCTTTGTGGAAAATTTGGTGTCTCTATCTCTTATAGTCTCTGAGATCCAGGTGTTCATACGGACGGACAGACGGACAGACAGACAGACAGGGCTAGATCGAGTCGTCTTGTCACGCTGATCAATAATATATATACTTTGTGGGGTCTGCTATCAACGCTACAAATGTATTCTGAACAAATCTAAGAGTCATTTACCGTTAAGCTTATTTTGTGAGTGTATTCATGCGATTTACAAAAGCAGAAACACACCTTTTACATTCACAACAATCATATTTGGAATTGAAGACACAAATTAGTGTTGAATTAAGTAATTTAATACATACTTATATATGTATGTATGTATGTATGTACATGTATATAGGCGGATAACGCCTGCATGAAAAATTTAAATGTATGTACATATCAGTGTTGCCGAACGCTCCAATTTTGGCGGGACGTCCCGATTTATAAATCAAAATTAAATGTCCTGCGTCGGACTTTTCGGGGATAACTCGACCGTGCGTACAACATGCTGAGAAAGCACACAGTTAAGTCAGGACTGGCAGTCCGCCCGGTGCGTAACGAAGATATGTACATATGTATGTATGTACGTATAACCATACATAGGTCTTATTGTACTATATTTGCTTTTTGGAAAATGAACTCTTTAAATAACTTTAGAGAGCGTCGAAAGAAGAGCACATTTTACTTAGCCCAGCAAAGACGGGCAAGACCTGCTAGTGTTTCATATAACTCTTATATGTGATTACAGCATTCCCTGTGATATCCCAGTCGATGCAAATAATGAGGCTGGTTACGATAACGAAGCACAAAGTGGACAACAAGGAGGATCGGATTCACAATGAAATCGCATCCAGTCTGCGGCGTAACAAATAACAAAAACCAAAAAAGCCACTGTGGCGAAATAAAGAATTCCACTTATGTTCCTTTTTATATATTTATTTGTAACAGTTTTTAAAACAGGGAATTTTGTTGAACCAATTTTTCTAACAGCAGCCCCACAATCACTTCTGTGGACGATTTATGTGCCTCTGTAGACGATTTATACGCCTCCTTCGCAATATTTATACTCTGTACATGAAATGTACAAGAGTATATTAGGGTTGCGGGAGCTGAAAAATGTAACAGGCAGAAGGAGGCGTGGCAGACCCCACAAAGTATATATATTATTGATCAGCGTGACAAGACGAGTCGATCTAGCCCTGTCTGTCTGTCTGTCCGTCTGTCCGTCCGTATGAACACCTGGATCTCAGAGACTATAAGAGATAGAGACACCAAATTTTCCACAAAGATGCGTTATGTGTGTATTCTATACGAGTTTGTTTTATTTTTTTGATTTCCCCCCCACTTCCCCCCCCCCCCCTATGGGGGTT